AATTCCTGCTGCTTGGCAGGATCCTCTGGGACCGTGAAGTCGTACCGCAGGGCATCGATGATAACCACTACGGCGCGATCGAAAGTCTTGGGATGCCAACAGCCCTTGCCAATATCCAGGGGCGCTAATTTGCTCTCAATGGGCGGGATTGTGCAATTGGACTTGTCCTCCAGCACCAGTCGAGTCAACAGAAAGCCGCTTGTGAACAACCAAATGCCGACAGTATGGATCACGAGCAACCACGTCCAAAAGGCGACGGTCCACCACCACCTTTTTTCGTACGACCTTTGCCGCGCCTCATTCAGCCTCTCGCGCTGTCGTTCTAGGGCTTGCGCAGCTTCTCGCTGGCTCGGTTGGCCAAGCGCCTCGGCCTCGGCATCGTTGGCTGCTTGTATGCGCTTCGCTCTGGCCCATTGTTCCGCAATTGCTTTGTAGTCGGCTTGGAGGGGTTGCGACGATGACGGCGATGGTGCAGACGGCTGTGGCGTGGCCCTTGCCTTGGACTTGGGACTCCGTTGCGGCATCTTGGTCTATTGGCTTCCGCGCGTCAATCCCATGGCCATTGGCGGCCCTGAAGCTCTGACAGACGTAAAAAGGAAAGGAGAAGTTGGCGAGGACCGAAGACAGCTGCTCTCCAGGGACACAGAGTTTGTCTGTGGAGCTTGAAGGGTAATAAATAACCTACAAGAACCAGTGGCGCCGGCTAGTATATCCAGTCCAGGGAGTTGGGTGGAGCGTGGTTAACCAACCCATTAGCGACTTGACGCTGACGCTTCGTGTCCGACACATTTGACGAGGATTTTCTCACTACGAAGATTAAACCGGAGATCCACAGCCTGACCAGTCAGAGCCGGTCGACGTCACAGACTCACAGCTAAGGGCATGCTGCATGCTGGTTGCACCTTCCTGGCTAACGTCAACGAGCATTGGGAGAAACAGGTTTTGTCTTCGGATCTGGTTCTAGTTCATTCATAACATGCCATCGCATTATTTAGTCTCAAATTACATGCCATTCCGTCGCAGGTAAATCCCAACTTCCCCTGCAATTGCCTCAAACAGACGCCAGCAACACCGTCGCGGCATCGCACTCGTCCAAGTCTAACAAATATATACTCTGCAGCTGGTTAAATACAGGAATATGAGCAATAGGCATCATTCAGCCCCTCCCCCCAAAAACGCCCACCATATATACACATTTGCGCTAATTGGCAGCCACATTCGCAAAAGAAACCCAGACCTCGTTCAAAAGCTCAACCAAATCAAACCAATCGATGCATCATGATCCCCAAAACACGGCGTATGAATTATTCATCATGACGAATGAATCCAGTCCATTTTTAATCAAACATATCCAGTTCCGATGGTCGGGCACTGGCACTGCCAGCTCCTCGCCGCTCAAGTCGACGTCGGCGCCTTCTATCTTCTGCAGCCGCCGAGTCGCTACCTTTTCCAGGGCCACTTGGTGAGGGAGTCATTTGGCTCCATGTGGCATGGCTACCCGGGCTTCCCAAGCTGGACATTGTTTCGTGAGCCATTGGAGAAGATCCCGATGGCCCTGGCTGCGGTTGCCCGGAGTAGTATGCTGAGTCCTTGTTCTTCCTTGATCCCTTGGCAAAGGCAGGGTTGGGGGGAGACAACGGAGCGAGCTGGTCTTCCTGCGCCTCCGCCCTTCGTTCAGCAGATCGCTCTGCTCTTCTCTGGCTCGAGTCTCGTCTGTATCCACGGCCATAACTAGGCGATTCCAAGCCTGAGATGCTGCTATCTGAACCTGCTCGGCTTCTCTGCCCTCCGGCAGCTCTTTGTTCTTCTTCAGTCAACCGACGCAAAGTAACATTTCTATCTCTATCATCGTGCATCTTTACCTTGACGCTGACAGGCTGGCTAGAGGGTGATCCGTATCGATCTCTCTCCGAGGCAGCAAGGCCGCCTGCTCTAGCTGCAGCCGCCGCCGCCGCTCGCTCTCCAGCCCGCCTCCGCCGCTCAGATGGCCGTCTCTGGGGGCGGCTATCGATCGACGACAGTTGCGACTGTGACTCGGCTTCTGAATGTAAAATGCCCCGAGGATCTGGTGGCATGGGCGGCATGGAAACAGATCCACTTCTGGCTCGTGATCGTGACCGTGATCTGGAATGGCCGCCATGTCCCGGGACCGGAACGATTGGAGGGGCGGTTCCAGTTTGTGTTGAAGTAGGACCAGCAGTATATGAGCTCCCTATTGGTCGTGTATCGACAGACGACTCCGTCAGATCTGTCATGTCTGATAAGGCTGACGCTCCGGGATGTCCAGTGCCTCGCCTAACTGGAGGCGGTCGTCGAGAGTTCCGTCGAGAAGGAGACGGGTATCCATCCCCAGTAAACCGAGAGCCAGAAACCCCAGACCTCATATCCTCCTCGTCCCGATATCTGTCTTCTTCCTTCCTGGCTCGTCTATCGGCAAGCTTCTTAGCAAACCAACCCATTCCCAGGCCGCCAAGGATACCTTTCGCCAAGCCGCCTCCGTGCCGGTCATCCCGTGGTCGTCGTGATGGGCTCACATATGACGAGTAGTCGGAGTCTTCGTAATCATCACGGCCGCGGGAATGAAGTGGTTGAGGAGTCACCGGCCGTCCTGGGCCACCTCTGCCCGGAGGGTTTGCTGAAGGGGGCAATAGCGATGTCTGCGTTTCATCTGGTCGGCGCGGATAGTCCGTATAGTCACTACTGAATTCGCTCAGGGTGGTGGTGTCTCCTCGTCCAGACCTATGCCGCCGAGGCGTTTCGGTTGAAACAGCAGAGTATTCCTCGTCTCGTCTATCATTTCGTCGACTCATCATGCCAGAAACCAGCTTTCCGGCACCAATAGCACCAGCTGTGGTAGCCAACACTTTCATGAACCCGCCGCCACTCCTCCTGGGCGGTTCGGAGTACTTTTCGCTGATATAACTTTCTGAGCCCCGTCGCGAAGGAAGGACTTCGGGGCCACGGCTGCTAATGAAGGAACGTGATCTGCTGGGACTGAGGTCGCGCTCCTTGTTCTTATTTCGCCCACGCAGCAAGGTCCAAATACCCGCACCAGCTGCAAGAGGACCGAGCCACTTCATCCAATTGCTCCGTTCATGTCTTGGCTCTTGCGAGAAGTATTCAGACTCGGTCACCCGCGTGTGGCCCGCTTCAGATCGAGCCCCGCCGTGGTACATTTCGCGACGACCCTCGGCTCTATAGCTCAAGATGAAGTACACCAAAAACAGGAAACTCATCCAGAGAGCGTAGAGAATAAATAAGTACTTGGGTGATCCATATAGTGTAAGGCCCAGGGGAACCTGGACGATGCCCAGAAGAGAAATCGCTCTGCCAGACCACTGATGGATAGTAATGCGAAGCGATCTGATTTTAGTGATGTGGCGGACCAGTCGTCCTCCGACAAGCTGCAGAATGAATAAGACGAAAATAGCAACGCCAATCCCATGGTGGGGGTTTGTCAAATTTCGCTCTGGGCCGACAGCGAAGAAGCCCAAGATAAAAACAGCTAGAAGCATCAGTCCAGAGAAGACCTGGAGCTGGGCATGGTATACGACTGCGAAACCCGGCTCTCGCGAGTAGAACCTGGCTAGCATGACCGAGACGGGGACAAAGAGGAGAAATATGAGAGCTCCAATAATGCCGTGGGCTAAGACGATTCGATGATACTGGGGAAGAGTAGCGAAACGGTTACCCATGCCTGCAGGAGTAAGTCAGTTACACGGCAATGAAGAAGCAAATGAAGCCGGTCGGGGCATCCTACCATTGTACCGCATCGTATCGAAATTGACGCCCTGGAGATTAGGAAGTAGAAAGGTATTCTTTGAAAACTCCCATGTTCCATCTCCAACAGTCATGGTGCCCGATCCATAGCTCGCGGAGCCAGGCGCAGAGAACTGGTCTCCTTGAGGCGCCATAACGGCTGCGGCGGCGGCAACGCGAGCCGCAATTATTTACTCAGCAAAACTGTCTTCTTTGCTGGTGATGTCGGAACAGGACGTTTTCTGCCATCCGCTTGGGGGGGCAACAAAGTCGACGGGTCGAAACAGCGTCAAAGGAATGCGGCAACGCCCGAGCCCGGGGTGGTGGTCGATTATCTGGTATGCGGCAGGATATAAGTCGGGCACCGCTTGTTTTGAGCGGACCCTGGGAACGGGCTCGAAAAACGTTTAGGCAGAGGTGAAAATGGATACTGGAAGTTGATGTTGGGTTGGAGTGTATGGATGGGAACACGAAAGATTCACAAGGCATGCAGGAGAAAAAGAGAAACATACATGCGACTCAGCCAGTCCTAGATGGCCAAGCCTATTGATGCAACACCGAGCACATGGGAGGCAGCTTGAGCCCAACTGCGCTGCTGGAGCTGCGTGGTTGCGCGGGGTGACGACGCAGATCTTGGCCGGCCCACCAATAGGGTTTGCGTATTGGGCCCGTAGCGGAGCGGTGAGTTGGCACGCCCCACTAGCCTAAAAAGGCAATCGATGTCAATAACTATAAAGGTTGTAGATTACCTGGGCGCCGGATGATGTGAAGAATTGAGCGTGAGGGGAAGAGCTCTTGATCCAGGCATGTTTCATACCTAGTACTCTTTTGATTGTCTCGGCTTGGAAGCATCTGCTAGCGGCCAGTTGGTCCATTGTCATGTTCAAAGTGCGGGCTACGTCAACCTGACTAGCTTCGGTAGTAGCCGGGAATACGACAAGGCATTGAATTGGCGATTTAATTGTCAAACGCGAGGGTCCCATTTACGGAGAATCTTTGTACAACGTAATTCCTTTGACTGTTTCCAGAAAAAAAAGTCACAATTGTGTATAATAACGCTATATGAATGTCGTGAGTATCGAGTTTATCTGGCCTTGTAAAAGCTGCAACCCTCACCTCAAACTACAACTTGCAAGCCCTCGTATTCCCTCTTGCAACTTCTTTCTTACCTCATCACCGTATCCATATGATTACAAGTACGAATCAAATCCACCAGGTATGAGCATAGCACACCGTCCGACTTATAATTTCGCTCCTCCCAACCCTCCCATCATGGCCAGCTCCAGCCTCACTGCCAAGTCGGCGATAATCTCCTCGCTTCCACCACCAACAACCTGCAACACAGTTAGCCACCCCTCTTGGAAACAAACCACCACCGCTTCCCCAAAAGGTGTACATCTTGTACTTACCAACATCCGCAAATCCCGGTTAATCTGCTCGACAGCCGCGCCCGGTCCGCCCTTCATGTAGCCCGCGCCACCAAAGATCTGCGCTGCCTCCCTGGCGGCCAGCTCAATCAACTGGCCGCCCTGCACCTTCAACAGCGCAACTCTGCTCGCAATCTGGGGGTCCTCCCAGCCGAGATCCGAGCACTTGATATGGTACGCCAGCTGCTCCAGCCACGCCCAATGGGCCTCGATTCTGTGCGCCATCTCCGAGAGCTTCCTGCGGATGACTTGGTTCTCGATCAGGGGCTTGCCAAAGGTTTCGCGCTTCATGGCATACTGGAAGGACATGGCCAGGCACGACCGCGCCTTGCGGTTGCACCCCACCGTCAGCAGAAAGCGCTCCTTGTTGAAGTTCTTCATGATGATCATGAACCCCTCGTTTTCCTCGCCGAGGAGGTTCTCGACGGGCACCCTGACGTTCTCCAGGTAGACAAAGGAGGCGCCGCCCGCGTTCTGGCCCGAGTTTTGGATCTTTTGGTGCATGATGCCCGGCGAGTCCATGGGGATGACCAGCAGGGAGACGCCCTTCATGCCGGGCCTGCCCGTCCGCACGGCCGTGGTCATGTGCGTGGCCCAGGGCGTGCCGGTGATCCACTTCTTGACGCCGTTGACAATGTAGAACTTGCCGTCGGGCGTCTTCTCGGCAGTCGTCTTGATGCGGGCCACGTCAGAGCCGCCCGACGGCTCGGTGATGCCCAGGGAGAAGTTGGTCTTGCGGGTGAAGAGGCCGGGGAGCCATTTCCGCTTCTGCTCCTCCGTGCCGCAGTTGACGATGGGCGGCGCACCAATGGACGAGGCGCCGGCCAGCGCGATGCCCACGCCCCCCTCCACACGGGACATTTCGTCGCTCATGATGAGAAAGTGGAACGCGTCGAGTTCGGCGCGCGGAATGCCGCCAATGTTGGGGATGTCTGCGGGTCGGTAGGGCTCGGGGATATCTACAAAGGGGATGCCGGACTTGCAGAAGCGCTCTGCTTCTTCCGGCGGCACATCGCCCTTCTCTTCCCATTCGAGGGCCGAGGGGAGGAGGTGCGTGTCGACGTACTGCCTGACGGCGCGCTGCAACTCGCGGTGTGTGGATGTGTAGTAGGGGGAGTGGACGCCGCGCAGCCACGCCGGCTCGCTCCAGGGAATGGATTCGTCAACGTGAAGCTTGGGATCAACGGGCATTTTGGCGGTGGCGATGCTGGAAATGTGGTTGTTTTGGGCGAGGGCGATGAGAGGCCGGGGGGGAGCCAGATGGCTGATGCTGGGAATAGAGGTTATATGAGGTTGGAGGAGCACAGCACCAGCTCCATTAGCCGATTTGGATACTGACTGCTGGCGGCACCCAGTCGGTAAAGCCGGAGCATCAGCCCTGTCGTGAAGCCAAGTTGGGTGCGGTTCGAGATGGGGTAGCTTGGGGTTGCCGAGGCTCGGGGTGCCGGTGCATCTTGACGCGCCCATCTCCCGTCGTCTTTGGTCGCCCTGGACCCCAGATTTTGGCAGGGGCGGCCCCACAGCCGTGACTGCCAAGACCGAGCTCCATCCTGCTAGCTGCATTGGGGAACTATTAACAAGCGGACGTTGAATAATGCGCATTGCGTACACTATTCCAAGGGGCGCTTGTTCTTCCATCTTTTATAGCTTAATTAAAGACTTGTATTAATACATATTTCTTGTATTATCTAGCTAAGATGCCAGCTGTCGTGTGACATGTTCAGAGTTCGTTTGGCTGAAAATCTGACGGCAGGTAGCAAAAGCCCAAAATAATGTACTGCCCCAGGGGAAAACGGATAGTAGATGTCATCACATGTCAAACTACAGGAAAAGTCCCTACAAACCTCTACTGTTGCCAATTTCATGACAGATTGGCTCTGCTAAAAGGACTATCACTGGTGGCTGAGTTGGCGAATTTATGGTCACCCTTGAGGCATCATGTCCCAATTACCAGCCATGGGATCTGTAGAGGTGGATTTTACCCTTGATTCTTTCATACAGTTGTGGATAACTTGACAAAGGACACATGCCAGGCCTTACCTATAGATCTTTCGACTCAAAAGGGTTCTAGGAAGATCGTTTAATTTTAGGCTTTCGACGGAGGTATTCGCTTTTCCAAGTACTGAACCGACTCGAGGCTCATTCGAGGGACATGTACATCTATTTAGATCTTGACCTGTAGGTAATGAGTGCTGTTTGAGGCAAGGAGTATCAGACGCGACCATCCGCAGCATGCAGTCAGACTTATTACCTGCATGTGTTGACTCCGCCACTAGCATGTCTTCAAAGTTCTCCCAGTCCCAAGTATGTCTAAGAATCGGCTCGACTCTAATTACATTTAATCTCATGACAGCACTGCGGGATACTTACAATTCCAGGCCCGACTCAATTGAGTGACCATCAATTGAATCCCGTATAAGGGGACTTGCTTGAGCCTGTCAATCTGATGATTGGGCTGTTTAGCTCCAATTTGAATCGTCTTCTCTAATGTTGCACTTGGAGGGATATCGCGCGCCATAAACACAATACCCAAAAAAGTTCACCCTTTTGAGGAGGGTCGTATGAGCAATCATTAAATGCCTTGGCCAACCTCGGCCCTTTTTGCCTTCGCCAGTTAAAAACCGAGAAAAATCACATCTGGGCATCGTCTACTCCTCCTACTTATTTACCTGAGCTGTATCACTGTTAAAGAATACCACCTGGATCGTTATATCATCTCTCCGGTTCCGGGAGTATGGGGGGGTCAGAGCTAGCCTTCCCGCTACCATCTCGAAATGGTTTCCACCAAGGGAGTTCCGCATCAAATGCACGGCGGCATTATCGTCTTGGATGATTGTCCTTTCCCTGACGAAGCCCGGGCTCACTCCTTCCTGAAAAGCACCAAAATCGAACGGTGGATATGATTTCGGCTCTTCCGTGCCAGCCCCTTGGGATCTTGAATCCAGCCACGCCACCACGAGATCAACAGCTTGCTGATTCGATAAGCGATCCCACATACCATCTGTCGCTAGTATCAGGAAGGAAGGCCTGTCCGACTTAATCGTAGTCGTTGTCACAACCGGCTCGGCCGTCATATACGGTGGTGTCTTGATGCTGTATTTTGGTGGCAGGACTCCGGGGCCGCAGAATCTCCTGCTGAAGCTCTCCATTGTTTCCGAGGGCCACTTCCATCGCCCGTCCCCGAAGGCCCGTGAAACTGCGAGTCCCAGAACACGGCCGTCCTGAGTTAGGCCTTCCTCGCCTGGGTGCTCTGCATTCAACCTTGCAACTTCCGCCTCATTCCGACCAGTCTGATCTGTAGAGAGTGGAACTGCTTCCCACTTTCCGTCTGGGCTCTGTTGCCCAAGAACCGCCCTGGAGTCGCCCGTACATGCCACGTGCAGTCTGCTGGTCATGGGATCGTACAGAGACAACAAAGCATATGAACCAGCAAAAGCAGGGGCAAATCTCCGCACCTTTTCTTGCAGAGACTGGTCGCTCTCGGAGGCATCCTCAGCTTTCTTGATGATGGAGTTATCGAGATCAACAAACGCTTTCATGATGGCGCCATGGATTGTTCGTTCCGGCGTAGCTTGACCGTTTGAAGGTGGCTTCATTCGCCCTAGGCTATGTTGCACGAAAGGTACCAGGTTCTTGTCTAAAAATTCGGCTGTCTGCCAGCCTGCATGGCCATCGAAAAGAGCCAAAGCAACCCATGGACTGCCATTGTGCCAAGGCGAGACGAGGCCATGGGTGAATCTGTCTTCACAAGGGCTGTTAGATGCCAACTGAGCCCCATCATATCTCTCAACACCAGCCACGTTTCTAACAATGAAAGAATAGGCATCTTGTGAGAGAATTCGGGTTACTTCGGCCTTCGAGGCATCGGACTCGACGAGAAGATGCTGGCCTGGTCGACGCTCCAGACGTGGTGCAGGATCGGTTGTAGCTAGCGACCACCAGGCGCCCATGGCAGCAATAGCAATAGCAGTCGAAACGTATCTCGTAACGTTGCGAACACTGCTGCTCCCTGGGGTCGACTGCGTTCCATGTCGTTTTATGAAGCGGTGATGTTGCGCTTGCGCTTGGAAAAGGCGGACTAGATGCGGCCGAACCCGCAGGGTGCGAAGCATTGCAAGGGGTCTTTAATTCCTTTTAAATGCTTGGATGCGGCTTTCGAATGGTCGCTGACACTGACAAGTGTAGCAAGCCTATAGATTATCAGTCATCGCAGACAAAGGAGGTCAAAGGATAGATAAGCTCTCGTATTGTGCCGTCGTTGCCTACAACAGGGTTCTTGTCTCCCGAGTCTTGGTTTTGTTGTCCGGGGGATGGTGGCTCAGAATGCAATCAAAAGACTAAGCTCGTAGGCCACAAACCGGCTCGTGCGGCACTCTCTTATTATCTGCAAGCTTTGATATTAAAACCAACGGGGAAAATGGTATCCGGTATAAAGCATGCCATATCAAAAGTTGTCACGGTTGGCAGCTGTTGTCACAAGTTTACACGAGGGCTACGATCACGGGACCTAGGGCAGAAGACTCGACCACCTATTATATAAATAGAGCTCTTTGGTCAATTAGGCTTTGAGGAGAACCAAGAGCTTTTAATACCAAAAACTGTTATTAGATGAATTGAGTCATGGCTCATGATATTCCAAGCCTTTAGCCCTTGTCACAATTAGCATTATTTCCTAGAGCTTCTTCCTTATTTTCCTCTCTGGGGGCTCTGCCGATGGTCCCATTAGAATTATTCAAGTACTATTAATATATTATTTCTGCCTAAATAGTATTGTATTTATTTGCATCACTATCGCTATTAAATGCACAAATTAAGCTTATGGGGTTTCTCAACAACCAAGCTAAATTGGACTCAGGTTCAGAGTACCAGACTCTTCAAATACTAGAAGTCTTCTCAACTGCTGCTATCTGATTGGCCACGAACCCCCTAGCTCATTCAGCAGTTGACCTTGAGGACGTTGACATGGAGTGCTCCTTCCAACTGACAGCAGTGGGGCTCTGGGGTGACAGCGGGTGAGTGCAGAAGAACGCCCCCACCTGCGGCGGTTATTGGCGTCAATAGCTCGGCACTGTTAAGTGCCTGGTTGCCCACTAGGTGCATAGTTTGGCTGCCGAAACCATGATCCCATCCCAAAAAAAATACCAACTTTTAAACCTACCAGAGGTATTAAACTGAGTAGAGATTGATTGTTACTACGTGCAGCCTGGAAACCTACACCTTGAGACAAACACACCCTAAACTCGAGACCTTACCCCAGCCTATTTTACTTCTTTCCCCGTTACCTTTCTCCCCTCTATAATTGCATAATCCGTGCCCTTGAACCTCCACAGCTTCTCGACCTCCAAACCAGCCTCGCCCATAATGCTCTTAAATTCCTCGAGCGTCCTCTCTTTTCCACCAAGCAGCATCATCAGGATGTCGTTTCCAATCGACACAGGGGATGGCAGGTCCCCCAAAACGTTCTCAACGATCAAAATGCGGCTATCGGGCGCCATGGCACTCGAAATCTGATTGAGGATCTTGATGCAGTCAGCGTCGCCGTAATCGTGCAGACACCGCCGAATATAGTACACAAAAGCTTTCTTGACAGGCTGCTCGGTATGAAAATCCAATGCAACAAGCCTGGCCTGCTTGATAAGACCATCAGCTTGAGACCTGACCATCTCCAGTACGGGCTCCAAGTCTTCAAGCACACATCTCTCCATTGGCAAGCCGGTGGCCTCGACAATTGCTTCCAGCGCATGGCCCTTGCTGCCGCCGACATCTACAACAAGTGGTCGATCTGGCGACTCCGCAGCCTTGTCGACTACCCACTCGAAGCTATAGTCACCGATAATGCCGTGTCTCGTGGCCATGGCTTGCATAGCTAGCATGAAGGTCCTCTTCATCTCCGGGCTGCGGTTCATGTGCTCCCAGATGGTGAGAGAGGCATTGCCGACTGTGAAGGCGATTGGAGTGTTTTCTCTACTTATAGGCTCGCCGAGGCCAAACTTGTCAAAATAATCCGGCAGCCTGGCCATGGTCTTGAGATGGGCATCGAAACTATATGAAACAGTCAATCAACAAACCGCGCTCCTATGAGAGACTCAGTATTGCATTGGGAGGGTGTTTGAAGACGTCTTACCCCAGGCAAATGAGGGCATTAATCGGATTGCCAGACAGCAACACCTTGCTCTGTGCAGTGTGCGCAACTGTGCCCTTTTCTGTTTCTTCAAGAACACCATTTGCTACCAATGCAGACCCGAAACGAGCTGCAGAGACCATGTCAGCAAATGCCACACAAAATTAACTTGATCCATGAAGAATTTTGATGGCATACCGATCAAGCCTATTTTGGCTCCAATGCCGCTCGCCAGTTCTTGGTACGAGATGGTTCCGTTGGTAGGAATTTTGTCGAACAATCCCCACTTGATGAACAGCCTCATGGCGGCAAACTTGGACAGATGGACCATTTGGTCCATTACATTGTCTAGAGGGTCTTTGAGCTCAGCAATCAAAGAATATGTAGACTCAATAATGCCGGCATGGTCTTGCTTGGCCGTAGGATTGACACGGAGAGTGTCAGCAGAAGACAGAAGCTGCCGTGCCACAGCCTCCATTCT